GATCCATTTAGCACAACCACAATCACAATCAAACGCATAATGAACAATGCTCATAGTCATACAATCAAGTAATGGGTTCATGGCATGTAATTGTTCATATATATACTCATATGCATTAGATTCGATTCACATTTAACTATTTACATAGGCACATGCATACAATGAAGCAATTAACCGGCATATATCACATAAATAGGAAATCAAACCATCACCTACCTCGAAACCAAGCTTGAATCCTCCTAAGACACTTGAGCCTTTCCTTTCCGGATTCTTTCCGCTTGTTCTTGGTCTAAAACAAGTAATTTAAAGCAAGGATCAATAAAAAATGACTAATTTACCCGGATAATAATCAATCTATCTATCCATGTCCAAACACAAGATCCTAATGTTCAATTAGGGCTTCTCCCACCATTAACTTTAGGTCAAAACCCTCTCCCGATGATAATTACCCAAGAATCTAAGGTATACGGATCGAAAGACGGATTAGGGGAGTAATAATCTTACCTTTAGCGCTAGAAGTGGTGGAAAACTGTCAAGAATTTTCCCTGGGTCGTCCCTTAGCTCTTAAGAACGAAGTTTTGCAGAAAATAACAATTTTGGGGGTTTTCCTCAATTTAAGTCGCAACTGTCTCGCCACAGCGAGACCCATCCTTATACAGCGGCCCCGCCCTGGTAGGATTAATCCCACTCTGGCGCCTTGCACGGAGACAAAAGGTCATAATTTGAGTTCCAAACTTCCATTTCGCAACACACCTTCAACCCTTGACGTTCAAAAACTACCCTTTCACGCTAGGATCAGTTTCGGGAGTTCTACTCGCCCAAATTCGATTCTGTAAAGCCGTACGGGCTCCTTAACGTCTTGGATATCCACTCATGTGATCAAATTCATAATTAAACCCCCTGTTTATTACCAGATTTCCCTAGACCTCACCTGACTCAAATTTCGTCCAAGTCTAGCCTAGGCTAGAAATTTCCAAGTCACTATTGAAAAGTTTTCTGGCCCAAATTCTTTCTCCATTGTCTTTTCTATAACAACGGAAACAGGTCGTTACACTACTTGACAAGAAGTTTAATGACTTTATGTTGCACAAACTACAACTTGATGTTCAAGCTATGAAAAGCCTCAAACTATTGGAGAAAAGGATTTGATCAAAAACTCGTTTGAAGAGTCCAAACTAGATTTAAAAAGTACTCATCATTTACCGATTTATTTGTTGTACTTTTATTTTTATTCAGTTTAATATAGAATGTTCTTTTTTGTGGGGGGCAAATTTAAGACTACAAAGTTAAAAGACATTTTTATATATTCTACATATCCTTAAATTAAAAGTTTTCTTTATTTTTTAAAATTTTATATAGAATTAAAATTAGACAAATCTACATCAATCTTTTTATCTATACTACCTTAAAAGTATGAACTAGCTAACTTAAATAATAAATTATTATAACCCTCCCCCCCCCCCCCCAAACTTAAAATACAAAATTTAGTATATATTATATTATATTATATTATATTATATTAAAAGCGGACACTTCTTCACATTGAAGGGTTGTGACATTTCCAAAGAGTTATAACTTTTCTTATTAGTTGTGACCTTTTCCAAAGGGTTGTGACTTTTCCGTAGAGTTGTGACTTTTCCGAAGGGTTGCGACTCTTCCAAAGAGTTATGAATTTTTCCGATGAGTTGTGACCTTTTTGAAGGATTGTGACTTTTCTAAAGAATTGTGACTTTTTTTTATAAGCCACAATAAACATTTTTCATACACTACCTTTTTGTTGGCTATAAAAAGAGGGGTTTCCTCACGTATTTAAACTATAACTTTTTAAAGTTTTTTTATTGTTCTTTTTCTTCTTCTTAAAACACTCAATTTTGTATAGCTTCTATATTTTATATTAATATTTATTTATATTATATTAAAAGTAAGAACTCCAATAGTATAATAATAACCAAGTAATTCAGTATAGGGGAGGTAGGAGAATTATACTTAAGAGGTGTAACTAATAGATTTTAAGAGTGACTCTTTTTATTTTTACATATTACAATTAATTTTAAAATGACAAAAAATTATATAAAAAAAAAAGGAAAAAGATAAATTTAATTGTAGGTCATAGAGAAGTGTTAGATCATCTTATCTATATCTAACTTTATATTATAAATAGTTATAAGTGTTTTCCGGATGTTGATTTGACAACTTTCAGTAGTAATCAAACGAAAGTTTACATTCACTATTCATAAGAACTTACCCTTTATCATTCCATTTATAATTGTTTATTGAATTTTTTATTTAATATTATTGACATTATTTTTAAAAATAGTTAGTACATAATTTGATATTCATGTGCAACGCGCGTGCAATCAAAACTAGTATTTTATAAAAGATTAAGAAAATTTAAAAAATTTGATTAATCGAAAAATCAAATTTATGTAATTTGTGACTTTTTCATTTTCCTCATATTACCAACTCCTTCATGCCCAACATACCCACATAGGTAAGACGAAAATAAATGTGTTTTTCCACCGAAGTCAAGACCAATGATATCACCAGTTAATTATTTTTTTTCCATTTTTATTTTCTTAAAGATGTCTTATTTTCTTTCATAATAGCAAGATTCTAAATACTCCATATTAAAGAGGCTTTAGATGCTTAGTTTAGATTCATCTAATGTTAGTTGCATAGATTAAACTATTTTTTCATTTCATCTTTGTTTTTTCATGCTTTTTTCTATTGTTTTCATAATCTGCCAATCTCAGAATTTTTTTATATGAAAAGTGCAAATCGAAACCGATCGAATTAAATTTTAAAAAAAATTGAATCAAAACGAAGTAATTTCAATTTGATTATTAGTTTCACTAAATCGAACACCAAGAAATTGAATCGAACCGAATAGACCGTATGACCACCCCTATACTTAACTTAGAGCATGTTTGACACTATTGCTAAAAACTACTTAATTTTAGAAACACTTTTTTAAAATAACTTTTCAGAAAAGTGTTTTTGAAAAAAATAATTTTTGTTTGGTTAATTCATTTAAAAAGTGCTTTTGATAAAAAGATTGTGATTGGCTGATTTATTTATTTTTAAATACTTTTGAAAGTCAAATCACGAAAAAAAAATATTAATGCACTTTTAATATTAAGATTATATATAAAATATCAAGTAAAATATATTTAAAAATAATTTCACAAATTAAATCACTACATACGAAAAACTCATCACAAAAATAAATAATTATAAAAAATATATTGATAAATACGTATATATGACAGAGATATTTTAGTCTTGAAATAAATATTTTTTTGTTTCTTCTTCTACTTTTTAAGAAAATAATTTTTTAGTTTGTTCCCAACAAACAAAAGTTGTTTCTGGTTCATCTTAAAAGTTGTTTTATTGATTAGCTAAACAACTTATTTTTCTAAAATAAATATGTTTTATTCAAAGTAAGTGTTTTTGGCCTTCTAATTTCAACGGCACTACACAGGCTCTTAATCTTGAAGGATTTGACTTGGGCTATTACCATTTTTTAATGGGCAAACTACATAAATCCCACTAGTTTAGGTTCCAAGTATTAAGATTTTCGATACTTTCGAATATTACTTCATCTACCATATTTTCGTGCGTTGGATACATGAGTCTGAATCCGTGAGATACATGTATCTATCAAATTTTTAAAATGAGATACATATTTTAGTTGTTTAAACTAATTGATTGTAACTAATTTTCTTAATTACAGGAGTAATTGAGGATTTTCAAAATACATAAATAATTAATTCTAAAAATTTAAATTAAACTAAATCCCTTAATGTAAGGCGGAAATCAAGGAGTGTATCTATATTTAATTAATTTTATTTACTATTCTTTGAAATGATGAATTCATTAATATTAATAATAGAAGACAAAAATATGCATATCTTGGTCATTAATTTGATTTATTTTATTTTATTACTCTTAAAATAATAAATTCATTAATTTGATGTATCTATAATCAATATATAATGTTTCAACAAACTAAACACTTAGATACATGAGTATTATACAAGTACATTCATATGTATCATAGAAATATCTAGTATTAATTTCATGTATTTGTAATATGTATCTAGTATTAATTTCATGTATCTTTTTTATACAATTTGATGTATCAAATATCAATTTCATATCTTATATTCAAAAACATGTATCTCGGATGAATACGAAAATAGTCAGATACATTGTATTTTATATATATATATAAATACATGGTAAAAGACAGATACATATGACAACACTCGGGTACAAGACTGAACAAATTGCGTTAAATACATGCGTAAATCTCCAATAATGCATAAATCTCATATATATATATATATATATATACACACACTTAATAAGATACATTGATAGCGCCTAGATCCGATAGGAGAAGTGATGTGAAGTTTCTAGTTGAGTGTGTAATTGGCACCGTCGTTAGTGTCGATTTTGATAAATCTATTGGGCTTGAAATCTCGGCTTACAATGATAACCATTGTCTCTGCGCACGAGAGGCGTCTCCCCTTGCGAGAAAAAATGATGGGTATGTGGGGAATTGGTTTGAAAGTGGAAAAATCAAAGGCTAAGAATTTGACGTGTTTTTTGATAAGTCGTAGAACATCCATTTTAATGGAGTGTTTCTTTTCGGTGACTATTGATGAAGGGAGGAGAAAGAGGAAGAGTTGAAGTTCTACCCTAACTCATATTCCCTAAGAGAAAGATATTTGATTTTAATTAAAATGTTAATTTTGAAGTTTAAATGTAAAAATAATTAATCAATTCTAATTTTAAGAGATGTGAGTATTTGATTTGTGTCTTTAATAATATATGACATAAAATATTTAAAAATGGAACTCGTGTAGGTAATTATTTGAAAATAAATGTAAAATTAGTAAAGAAATGATTGTGATGTACTAATAAAATAGTTTTATCTTCTTTTTTTTTAATTGAAAACTCTTTTGTTACCTCCAACTCAAATTTGTCCACTGAGTTGGGTGTATTCAGTTGTCAAAATTCAATCGACGGCTATCTGTAGGTATCTATCTATCGGGTTACAACTTTTCCGATCAGGACATGGAGGCGGCTCCATCCAATCCTACTCATAATATCATCTCCACCGCCCCTTCTGCCGCAATTAGTATGAATTCCTCCGTCGCGACCCACCGGAATCCGTTAAGAGTTGACTGGCCGACAGTAGACGGACCACTGGGTCTCTCGGAGCAGGAGTCCGTCGATCACGCGCGTAGATTCTTCAAGTTCGGATTTCTACTTCTTCCTTGGCTTTGGGCTGTCAATTGCTTATACTTTTGGCCTGTTATTCGTCGTCCTAGCTCCTATTATCATCCAGATCTCCGCCGATGTAAGTCCTTTATACTTTTGGTTAAAACCTCTATATAATTGAGACGCATTGCGTAATTTGTCTGGAGAAATCCATCTGAATAACCCCTATGTTAACGCGCATTTCCCAACTGTTCCAAAAAAAATTGAAGGGTTCGAGTTTAAGGGTGAACTCATCTAATTGTATGAAATAGGACATGATATGTTTTTCTAACAAAATGAATACCTATAACCACATTAACTTTCGGATTCCTGTGTAATGATTTCCTTAGTCTTCTTCATTTTTGTATTTTCTTTTTCCAAAACTTCTTTGAAAGAATTTCTTCTTCTTCTTTATTTGAGTCGAGGGGTCTCACTATCCTCCCCACAGCCACTTGTGTAATTACACGGGGTTTGTTATTGTTTTTGTTGTTTTACTTAAAGTGCATCAAATTCAAATTCATAGATAAACAAAAAATTTACAACAATGTAGTTGGAAAAGAATATTGTTCGACTCTCTCAAGTAATTGCCGCCAAATTAATTGGGATGGAATGTGAACTTATATGCTTCTACTGTTTTCATGAGTGTACTATTTGCTTTTGGGTTTTTGGGGTTAATTTGGTCAGCTTCGGCATTATGTTACTGAAGGGAGACGTGTCCTATTTGTGTTGTTATGTATTAGGTAAGCTAGAACCAGCAGTCGTGTGGATCAGCCATGAGATAGTAAAGATAAACCTTACCATTCGGATCTCATTCTGATCATTGAATCTTTTCATGCTATGTTAATTCTTGCTTCTACTTTTGTGCCGCTGCAAGTTTTGTTAAACCTTTCACTTATTTCTCATATGGAATAATATTAGTATATGAGAAAATGAACTCATGAAGGTAATTGTTACTGTAAAACATCTTATCTAGTTGTCTCGTTTAGTCTGATGTGATGTATATTTGATAGTGTTATGTTGATGTGGTACTTGTTGATTGCATTATTAAGGCAATAGATACTTAGATAGTCAAAACTGGAATAAACGCCTCTAGCTCAATAGATTTAGGAAGCTTATTGAACAATTACACTAGGTAGGTGAGAAGTTCACAACCTTTGAGGCCTGGGGCAGGGGGCAGGATTGCTGAAAAGGGGTCTTTAAGTTTTGAGATGCTAAAGTAATATTCATTATACCTGGTACTTCGAATCAATCGCTAGATACTAAAAATCAATTTGTTGGTAACAAAGTTAATGTTAAGAGTGATGACCAAAAAGTGCTTGATATTCAAGAAATATAAATCAAATGTCATCCATGTTATGGAGTTGACTTCTTTGTTTAAATGTAGAGATTTTTTACAGCTGTCTGCATTATGTTTAGCTGGATAACAAAACATTTTACAGATGATTATCTCAAAAGAAAAAATTGAAACATTTTCCAGGTGTGATATACCCTCTTTCTCCTAGGATGGTTATGTTTACATGGAAAACAAATTAAATTTAGTTGGATGATAAGTCATTTCCCCAGAGGTTATAAGTTGTACCATTTTTTATCTTCTAGGGTGGTTAGCCAGATTTTAGAGCACTAGTTTGAGAAGTTAAACAACGGTAACTGGGGCATAACTTAAGAGTGTATAGCAAGCATTACTAAAAAATATTATTACTTATATGAAAAAATGAAGGGAAAAGGGTCAAATATACCCTTATACTATTGGAAATAGTCTATATATACCCTTCGTTATACTTTTGGATCAAATATACCCCTACCGTTATACTTTGGCACATATATACCCCTAATTTTAACGGAGGGACACATGTCAACTCAAGAATCAAATAACCCACCTACAATTTTAAATACCCAATTCCTTTGAAACCCACCCATTTCCTCCGGTGACCCACATTGAACCAAATCAAAAATCTTCTCTTTTGCTTACTTCGATTAAACAACTATTCTTATTTTCAGTAAAAAATCATGTTTAGTATCTGTTTTTGTTTGGGGTAATCTGAGTGCTGAGTTTTGATATTGATCAAAGGTCCTATGGACGAAGCGCAAAAACACAATGCACACTCGGCCAAGTTTGCTTTTGGTTATGGATTTCTGAATCCAGATATCCGGGCCTGAATCATTCTGGTTAGGATTGCTTCTTAATCGGATCTGATTTCTCCTTAGATTAAAAATAAAACAAATCCATTTCCATATTTCCTTTAAAATCAGCACTCAAGCACGACCAAAGCTCACCTTGAAACTCAAGGAAGAAGTGAAAAGCTTATACCATCTAATTGAATAATGGCACAAAGATCACATGAAATTTTATGATGAACTCTTTGCTGATTTTTCAATTTTGCTAATTGTAACTTTTAGGGAAATTTTTGCATCAAGGTGGATAAGATAACTAACAGTAATAATGCAGTAATTTGCTCTACATTCCCAATTTCACTACACTAATTTTCTTAGTTTTTGCTTCAAAGTTAGATAGAGAAAAGAAATATTAATGGATAGAGATGAGTTTCAAGCTAGTGAATCAATGATGAGGAGAAGTTCTTGTAGTTACTATGTCTCAACTAGATGCCCTAGTTAACTTCTATAGTATAACTAGCCCTTCCCCGAACTCCCGCAAGCACTTCCTCATTGAGTTTCACAGTGAACTTTGTGGTGGTTGAGTGTTGATTTTAATATAAATTTTAGATAGAGAAAATGGCTTATGAAAATGGGTTTGGTTCAAGGTGGGTCATCAAAGAAAATGGGTAAAATGGGTGGATTTTAAAGAAATTGGGTATTTAAAATTGGGGTGGGTTATTTGAATCTTAAGTTGACATGTGTCCCTCCATTAAAATTAGGAGTATATAACCCTCAGGGGTTGGCCTGCTGGCAATTGACTTGAGCCTTGGGGTTTGCTCCCTTTCAAGGTCTCAAGTTCGAAACCCAGTGGGTGCAAACAATTTCTGAGGGCCATCGGACTGGGTAAAACCTGAATTAACCGTGGTGCACTTGCGGGAAACTCCTTGCCGAGGGCCTGTGCACCCCCGGGATTAGTCGGGGCTCAAAGAGACTCGGACACCCGGTGCAAATCAAAAAAAAAAAAAAAAAAAAAAAAAAATTAGGAGTATATATGTGCCAAAATATAACGGCAAGGGTATATTTGATCCAAAAGTATAACGGTATGGGTATATTTGATCCAAAAGTATAATGAAGGGTATATATAGACTATTTCCAATAGTACAGGGGTATATTTGACCCTTTTCCGAAAAATGAAATAGATGAATTTGAAACTAGTTTGCTAGAGAAAGCTTGAATAAATATGCGTGTAGAAAATAATTATTGTTTTGGGGTTAGTGATTTTATTAGCTTTGACTACACAACTTGTAATGAATGCTTCATTTTTGGTGAGAAACGACTTAGGAGTTGTTTGGTAGGATGCATTAGAAAAATATAATGCATGCATTAGCTTTGTGTACTACTAATACCTTATTTGATATACTTTTTCAACCTATGTATTATGGAGAGTATTATGCTATGTATAACGAATACATGACGAATCATTGTGTTAGTAATGCAAGGAGTTCAAATGCATGCATTAGTATAGTTAAAGACACAATCGCCTCTGAGAACCTTTTCTACATTATTTACACCATATTTGTGAAGGGTATATTTATGAACATATAATTTTTTATAAAAAAAGAAAGAAATGCATGTTATTTTAATATACCAAATCAAAGAGTGAATAAGAAATAATCTTAGCATAACATATACCAGCATTACTAATGCATTCTCTTCAACACTATTTTTATACACCCTACCAACGACCCCTTAATGTTCTGGCCAAGAAGAAATTGTTGTCAGATTTCAAAAGTGCTAAATTAGGTAAGTGTGCTCTGCTTGTCTGGAAAACAATCTTTCAAGTCTTATCCTCCTTCAAGAAAGATAAAACTGCTTGAGTTGGTGCATTCAGATTTATGTGGTCCAATGAAGACCTTACTTTGGGTGGTGCACTTAACTTTGTTACTTTTATTGGTGATTGTTCAAGGAAACTTTGGTTCTATGTCTTGAAGACTAAAGACCAAGTGTTGGACGTCTTTAAGTAGTTCCAGGCTTAGTTAAGAGTGTTGAGAGAGAAAATAGGAAAGAAGTTGAAGTGTATTCGTACGGATAACAATGAATATTGTGGACTGTTTGACGAATTTGCAAGCAACAGGTATCAACCACCAGAAGACTCCTAAAACTCCTCAGTTTATTGTTTGGCAAAGAGGATGAACAAGACCTTGATGAAAAGAGTTAGATGTTTGCTTTTTGAAGCAAAGTTGTCAGGTTCTTTTTGGGGTGATGCTTTATTAATCGTTGCACATGTTATTAACCTATATTTTGCTATTGCTTTCAAGAGTGATGTTTCAAGCGAAGTTTGGTATGAGAAGGATGTTTCCTATAACAATTTGAGAGTAGCTATTGTTCACTTTCTAAAAATATAGAGCTACATGACTCCAAATCTTGCTCTACTAGTTTCTAATGGAGGACCAAGTTGTTGGCAACACTTGGTTCAAATTTCAGCTTAATCCAATAAGAAAGAAATCATGAATTGCCAAAAGAAGCTGGCTGGTCAGATTTATTTTCATCTGCACTTTCTCTATATATTGTGCTCTACCTCTCTGCCAAACCATTAAGCTGAGAAGTCTTTTGTTGTTGATACCTTGTTGCTTGCGATGTTCGTCAACAATACTCACCACCCTTATCAGTACGAAAACACTTCAGCTTCTTTCCCAGTTTCTTGCTCACTGAATGCCTGAAACTGCTTAAAGACACCCAACACTTGATTTTTAGTCTTCAAGACACTGACCCCAAAGTTTGCTAGATCAATTATAAGTGTTGTGAAAAGTGATTGCCTCGTCGCCAATGGCGAGAGGAGAGGCGAGGCGACCCTTTATCGCCTATTAGCTTTGTAGCGAGGCGATCTTCAAAAGGCGACGCCTATGGCGAGAAAGGCGTCGCCTTTTGTATTTTCTTAAAAAAAGACGACCAATTTAGGATTTTAAAAGTTTAATGGTAATTTTAGGGTTTTCTTTCCAAATTTGCACAGTTGCACTTTTAGACCTCGACTGTGACTCCAACCAGTCAACTCGACTAGACTTCTCCGTCGACCAACGAGACTTTGCTGGCAACTTCAAAGTCCAACCAATACGTATTTCTTCTTTTCTATTTTGTTCTCTAGCTAAGTAACTCTGAAGTCGGAAGAAGAAAAGAAGAAATACGTATTGGTTAGACTTCTTTTCTTTTTCCGACTTCAGAGTTACGTATTTCTTGGAGGAGATGATATTTGAAAGACATTTCTATTTTGTTCTCTAGCTAAGTAGTGCTGACACTTTTCTATTTTAGCACTCTTGAAATCTGACAACAATGTCTTCTTTGCCAGAATATCAAGTCCTTTCTCTATAATCTGGCTAAGCCTCTTATGCCATAACGTTGAAGAGTTATTACACTCTCAATTGCATTCATCATATCAGTAGAAATCGTAGTCTAGTACAGACCATGAGCCACAATTAAGGAACCCTTAGTGAGTTTCCACCACAATATAGTCATGTTACCAGTTTCAAAAAAGAGTTTCCACCACAATATAGATATCTCGAACCAAAGCTTTGGTACAAATTGTTGGTGTTTGAAAAGGTGTGGTTCACACAGCGCAGTAAAAACAAACAGGAACTAAATCCTCTCTCTGTCTTGTGAGAACAAAATATCGAACATTGAAATTTTAATGTGGAAAAACCTCTACAATGTGATGAGTAAAAACAACGGGATCAGAACTCCACTGTATTGATGAGAGAGTTACAAAATTTCTCCAAATTGGCGACAATGTGTGTGTGTGTGTGTGCATTTATATTGTGCTCTACTTCTCTTTTATATTAGTGTTTTTTTTTATTTGCTTCATCTGAAGAATATTATATGCCTATTTAAGAGGTGAATACCTCTCCGGATGTCACTGATGGCATCCACAATTCCAAATTATACTTGGGTGTGTCTGAATTAGGTTTCATGACATCCTTGGCGACTCCGATAACTCTTATATAGCTATCTCTACTTTAATCTACTGGGCGTATTACAGTCTCTATTCGTTTAGGTTTTAGAATGTTTTGAGTTATAGATGTTAGGTGAATTTCATGGTGTTTGCTTTTATGAGAGCTTAGAACAATTGGTTTCATGGTGTTTACTGTTATGAGTTATCATTTTAACTTGGGCCTGCAAGCACTTGTCTAATATTGAGTTTTGAAAACTATGATTTGTAGATGTTGTCAGGTCGGCAATAGGTTTCACGGTGTTTGCTGTTATCCTCTCAAGTTGGGCTCTTACCTTTTCCATTGGAGGAGAGCGTCTATTTGGTCATGCGTGGGACAAGCTAGTAATGTACAACGTTGCTGAGAAATATGGGTTGACGGGGTGGATTTAGGTACTTATTGCATTCATTTGTGGTCAAACCTCGTAGATACAAGATTTGTATATATACTTCCCTTGAAAAAGACTGAGAGACTGGAATATCTCAGTTAGACAGTTACCATGATTCTATTAAGTAGTGAGGAAACCAGGGAAGATATGCACCTTTTGAACTCAATTGTATGCAAAACTCAAAGGTATACATTGCAGGCTGTAGCTTGGAAGTTGTCATTTTGGCTAGTCAGATCTAGATTTTATTATTTCAGTATTTTCTTCATAGGCTTCTTCACCGTTATCTTAGGTAATATAAAAGAAAACCTGACGACCTATTTTCTTATAGGACACAACTTATCGATGCTTCCAATTGAATTTAAAATATGAGGTAAAAAGTGATAATTTCAAAATTCACTGGATCCAATTAGCACAATTGGTCCTAGTTCATCTTTTTCAATATTGAACTAATTCATAAATGTAATAACATAATATGAATGGCTGCTTTCTTTGACGATGTTTACTATGTAACCATAGATGATATGGGAAATGTAAGAGTAGATGATGGAGAGAGTTTAAGTTATTCTAGCCTCCTATATTAAAATGGTCATTTTACATAAACAATACCCTCCCTCTATCTCTAATTACTTGTCCACTTTTGAATTAACACACTTATTAAGAAAACAATTATCATAGTGAATTATTCTTATTAATTATGAAGATGATGAATTATAAAACTTAAAATTTTCAAGAAGTTCTACCTTTTTCAAAATAATTAATTGAGGGTATAATAAGTAAAAAAAATTGTCCTTTCTTTCTTGATTAGTCAAAATTGACAAGTAATTAAGGACAACTAAAAGAAAAGTGGACAAGTAATTAAGGACAGATGGAGTATATATTATTTTCATAACGGAAAAGGGTCATATTTGCCCCTATATTCTTAGAAAAGGGTCATATTTACCCTTCGTTATACTTTTTTGATATATTTACCCTTACCATCCAACTTTGAGGCCATATTTACCCTTCATCCGTTAAATTTCCATATTCCCACATAAATTACCTATGTCTACATGGATTTTATTTCCTCCTAAATATATCTAAAACATTATTTAAATTTTAATTGCCCACAATTTTGTTAAACTTCCATTGATTAATTTGGAAGTTTGGAGAGGAATACTAGAGAACATAGAAGTTTAGAGATGGTAATCTGTTTCGTCTCTCCACCACCAAATAGGTCCGATCATCCCAAAAAAATAAATCTTAAACCACTGTTAATTCGTCAGATCTTCATCATCACCGAAAAACTGAAACACCACCCTTGAACAATCAAATCAGATCCACCAAATAAATGTATTTCTGAACAACATTAAATAATCTAGATATATAGAAGTTTTCTAGTAGTTGCGTCGAATTTAGTCTCATCTCATTCCCGTTTCTCCATCAATAACCACCGCGTAACAATCTTGTAGCCACCAGAAACCAACTTGAATCCTCCATCTCCATTGTTGAACTTCACCTCACCCTCTCCACCGTCTGAAACAATCGAAAAAACAGAGCACGTGTAGATTGTTTGTAAAAATTCTACCTCTTTTTTAATCAAATCGAGATTAAAGATGAAAGTTGGATGTACTTAACAAAAAATTATTGGATTAAACGTTAAAAATTGTATTAGTTCTTAATCTTGTTGGTGTATGATGTGAAAAAGGATATATATAATTTTCTATGTTTGTTGTATAAAACGCCCATGGAGAAAAATTAAGCAGAGGAATCAAAGTTGGATTTATTTCGGTCAGTGGAAAGGATTTAATCGTGTGGGCTGAGTTAAAACAATTTAAATAATGTTTAGATTTAATTAGGAGAAAATGAATTCCACGTAGGTGCCACATAGGTAAATTTATGTGGGAATAAGGATATTTAATGGATGAAGGGTAAATATGGCCTCAAAGTTGGATGGCGAGGGCAAATATATCAAAAAAGTGTAATGAAGGGTAAATATGACCTTTTTCTAAAAGTATAGGGGCAAATATGACCCTTTTCCGTTTTCATAATTATCATTTATAGTAATATAATGTATTTTACCATTTATGACATTTTTGGCTCTCTCTCCCTCCTCTTTCCTTTTTTTTTCTTCTAGTTTTTCACTCTCTTTTTTTTCTCGTTTTTCACTTTCTCTTTATTTTTTTTTATTTTTCGTTTCACTCTCTTTAATTCTTTTTTTTTTTTTTGTTTTCTCTTTCTCCCTCTCTCCTTTTTTTTTTCTCTGTTCATCTTTCTATTTTGTACATTTGGTGAATATATAACTTAAATATTTTTAATATAGTTAGAAATATTATATGTGATTTCAAACATTTCGATACTTTAAATTAGTTTACATTTTTTTAAATTTATAGTAATGTATGATTTGAATTGTGTTATAACTATCGTTTATATTTATACAATTTTAATACAGATTTTTCAGAGCTTCACCTCTTTTTTGATAAATCATCACCACCAGACCACCAAATGTTTATATTTAATACAGTTTTGATACAACTTTAATACAATTTCTTAAAACTTCGCCTAATATACAACTAAAACATTTTTAATACAAATATATTACAAGTATTATATTTGAATTTCAAATATTCCGATACTATTTAAATTAGTTTACATTATTAGAAATGTATTACATTTGTTCTACAATAATAATAATACACTTTTGATACAACTTTCAATACAATATTGATACAACTTTAATACAGTTTTGATACAACTTTAAAACAATTTTGATACAACTTTAATATTGTTTTGATACAACTTTAATACAATTTTAATACAACTTCAATACGTATTTATATCAAATGGTTATTAAAGCTAAAATTATGTCATATATGGTAATAAAAATAAAGTGACACTTAAAATCGTAATTAATCAAATAAAATATATTATTTATGTAAAAATCCCTACTAAAATTAGCTATAGAGTCCGTATTAGCACAAGTCCAATATATGTTATTTATTTTAGGGTTAATATATATATATATATATATATATATATCTTACCTAACATTCTATGCAACAATCAATCTATGCATATAAAAGGAAATAGAGGTCGGTCGAAAAATATTACCTGACATTCTCAATTTGATTTTTGTTTTCTTGTTCGTGCAATGTTGTTCTCTTTGTGAATTGGGTGTAAAGGCCGCAATTATTTGTACAATGACTAAAATTAGAGTAAACCTCATTTAATTTATTTTAACACATGGATCAAGTGACATAGATTATTAAGTAAATTATGAATTTGATCCATTAAGTAAATAATATATTTATTTGAAAATGATGCAATTTTAACCCATTAAATAACAATAGGGACATTTTTGACCAAACTATTGAGACAAAGATATTCGTAGACAAGGATTATTGATGTTATATTATTTTGAATATGTAAAATGCATATATGAAAGTGTATTTTTGTGTAAACTTAAGTATTTGTTCAATATAGTTTTGCATCAATATATAGTTGCAAATGCTTATAATTGTGTATCTTTATACGTCTTATCACTTTGAAGTGTAAAATATTAAGCCGGTACTCAAGCACGGGCCATGCCCCTCTAATACATTTATAAGAGATTATTGTTATCATTATTTAGACAACTTACAAAAATAAAATAAAAATTGCTAACTTCCAATAGCTAAAAGTAATCACATTAATTAGCAAGATCTTTCGGATCACATTAAGGGTAGCTTCTGATTTCTAAAGTTGTTTCTGCCCTAACCCCACACCCGCACCGCACCACATAAATTATGTATTTTTTAATTTTACCCCGTCCCGCAATCACATTTATCCCAACCCGCCTGTCCCGCATATGCTTAAACCTGCCCTACTTCGCACCCATTCCACTCCATTGCCACCTTTAGTTGACGACATAGTATTGATTGAGGAGACACTAAACAAAGTTAATGCTAGGTTGGACATTTGGAGATAAACTCTAAAGTTTAATGAGTACAAGTTGAGTAAGACCAAAATGAAATATTTGGAGTGCAAATTCAGTGTTGCATTGAATGAAGTGGATGTGAAATTAAGGTTTGTACATAATATTTTAAAGAGAGAGTTTTAAGTATCTTGGGTCCGTAATTTAGGATAGTAGAAATATCGACGATGATGTCATACACCGCATTGGAGTGACATTAATGAAATGGAGGTATGCCTCTACAGTCTTGTGTGATAAGAAAGTACCCCCTAAACTTAAATATAAGTTTTACACCATAACGATGGTTATACCATCTTTGTTATATGCAGTGGTCATATTCAGTCATCTTTGTTATATAAGTTTTAATTCGGTGTACATGTTATTCTTGATTGATGTTGATCTTCCTGTTTCTGATTCTGAGAACTGGTACATACCATTTATCCATGCTAATATATGTTTTTATTCAATTTCAGAGTTTTAAGAATATTTTTTTCCTACTCTTTTCCATTTAATCTAAATTATAGCTACCAATTATATATATATATATATATATCCTTTAACTTAGTTTTAATTGACGTTTATACCATTTAAATTAGAGTGTACATAAGTAAATGCTAAAACTTGTATACTATTGGACAAATAGACACCTATCATATGTGGCATCCTACCTGACAATTTGCAGTCCTACAAGACGTCCTACTATATAATGTCTACTATTCAATTTTATACAAATTTAAATATTTACTCATATACATTCAAAATTGAAGGGTACATATGACAACTAATGCCAAGTTAAAGAGAACGTTTATGTATTAATCGATCATTTTGTTCTTTTACATGCATATTAAGAAATCATAAATAAGAAGATAATTTTACTAATTCATCCTTTAAAAAACTTCTTGAGAATTTTACAAACAATGTGAACACTTTAAAAAAGAATTAATTGTAAGGTTAATGCATGAAAATTTTAATTAGTGTTTTCTTGATTTAGTAAGGTGGACGATTAATATGCGACAGTTATTTTTAGTAAGATAATCAATTAATATGAGACAGAAGGAGTATGTCAAATATCATTACTTCCTTAGTCTAACAATAATTGTCCAATATACTATTTTGGGATGTTCAACAATACTTGCTCGCTTTATGAAATCAATATATAATTTTACACTTAATTTCTTTTTATTCTTATAATTAATTATGATATAGTAAAATTATCTTTTTTTATTTATATTTTTTTAAGAATATGTAAAATTTATAGTGAATAAATATTGTTGGACACGAAGAATAATTATTAACAAGGCCAACAGGCGTATTTTTTCACATGTTTCAACAGAGGAAGCAAAGCCCACTGCGAGTCCGAAAGCCACGTGTGAGTTTCTTCACTTGGGCAAAAAGCCCTTATTATTATAACGCCTGCGAAAATTGAATCAGCAACTAAGTGCCCTTCTCCGCCGCGGACATCCGCTGCAACCGGTGGCAGCCATTTGACTTACTAGATTGCAGTAATGCCGAAGAAGAGTAACGGAAATTCCGACAACCACGACGGAGATGAGCCGGAGGATTTCGTCATTCCATCTTCCAGTGCCGAATCACAAGACGCCGATGAAACCGAGGAAGAAAGCGACGACGTACAGAATGTTCACAAGGAGTATGTAAGCGATACGGACAAAGAAGAAGAAGAGGAGGAAGAAAAAGTCGAGGGTAGCAAAGTCGGTAATCGGGGCAGGAAGGAGGATTTGGAAGTACAGAAGAAGGTTTATAGAAGAAAGGGGAAGAAAATAGTGGATGGTAGTGGGCAGAGCGAGAGTGAAAACTTGAAAATATATACGAGAAAGAAGAAGATGATAGAAAAAGAAGAGGAGGTTGAAGAAAAGGAGCAAAATGTCGGTGCAAAAATGGCTAAAAGCAAAAAGGATTATAGGGAGAAAAATACGAAGGAGAAGAATGAAAAGGCAAAGAAGGAAGATAAAGTGAATGAAGGTAAAACGGCAAAGAACAATGGAGATTCTAGTCGTGGAGGCAAAAATGAAAAGAGGAACAAGAAGGATGAGAGGAGGGAAGTAGAAGGAGAAACAAAACTAGCAAAAAAGGGAAAGAGCAATGGAGGTTCTAGTCATGGAGGTGTAATTAAGAAGGAAGAGAACAAGAAGAAGAAAAGGACAGACGAAGGAGAAAGAGAAGGACAATCAGCAAAAAAGGCCAAGATCAATGGTGATTCGAGTCGGTTGAAAAAAGAAGAGAAAAATATGAAGAAGACACAAAATAGAAAGGAAGGAGATGAAGAGGCTGAAGAAAAGCTAGTGAAAAAATCATATAGCAATGGAGTTGCAAGTCCAGCTACAAAGGAGAAGATGAAAAGGGAGAAGGAAAAGGAGGGTAAAACAAATAATGGCAAGGTAAAAGATGAAGCAATTAGCAATGGTACCACCAAAAAGAATGAGGAGAAGAAATTGAAGGCAAAGAAGAAAAGGGAGGATGATGAAGAGGAGGAAGATGAGAAGAGTGAGAGTGCGCTTTACCAATTTCCCCATAACCGAGTCCATCGGATAATAAAAAATGAAAATGCTGATATTAGGATGTTACACGAAGCAACCTTCCTTGTTAACAAAGCTACGGTATGGCTCTACAATCCTTATTCAATTGTTCAATAGTTGATGCTGTACATATAATTTTCATTGTCTTATGTACATTGATGTTATAAAAGAGTTCCTGATAAGGCATTTCTCATATTAATCCTTTCAAAATTCGTTCTTTGACTTCTAGGACTTCTATTCAAGAAGTGACCAATTAATACAAATGCAGTCTAAAACCTCCATTGCTCACTGATTTTGGAGATTGTTAAACTTCTTTTAGTGTTATGTGGACTATGAGAATGCTGCTGGAGGCATTTATGATATACACAATAGCTCAAGTAAAGAAAGGTGAAGTAAGTTTTGACAAGATCATTTAGTGTAAATGCTGACATTTAGATATATAAGTTAAATGTTACGTGATAATGACATAATAGATGGAGATCTAACGAAAATAAATCAAAAGAACGTCGATGAAATGAAAAGTAGTCCGAGTGTGCTATGTGATGAGCAGATAAGAAGTGTTGTAACACATTGAATCTCGGGTCGTTAAATACTAACATATTTGCTAGATGAATGGTGTAGAAATGTGGATATTAAGATGAATGTTATGTAGAATACAAAAAATTAGAGGTGATAATATCCAACAGAGGATGTAAATAACACAAATAGACGATAAAATGAGAGAATTTCACCTAGGTAGTTTTATCGTGTCTTATGTTAACCACAAAGAACCATGTCTTACTATTACATAAGCCTGTATATGCACCGACTCAGAGGTGTGATAATGCGATGACTGAAGAAGGTAATAGACTCTTAGTAGACCTACGATATCTCGGCTTAAATATTGACTTGGCTAAGAAAAGACACAATGAAAGCAATTCATATAGGTGATACCAATTAGTTGGGATTAAGGCTTAGTTGTCTTACACTTATAATCAGTCTGATTTTGATAGGGAGTCCTTTTGTCGTGTTAGAGACTTGTGCCCGTATTACTGATAAGTGTGTGGTTTAGAGAACCACTAGTTCTAGAGAACTCCTTATTGCCCTTTAGACGCACTGGAATCAAGTGAAATTGAATAGAAGTATAGAACAATTTTTTTTTTTTTTTTGGGATTCATGAATCCGACCTCAGTTGATTTGAGGTTGAGGCATAACTGTTGATTGAATTATTGGAGATTGCAGAAGCCACTTACCAGTGTGAGATTTGGACTAGGCTGCTAAAGGCATACATGATTTGGCCTAATATCACAAATGGAACTCCTTTTTTTTTTCTTTGAGAAAGTAATGAAACTCTCTTTTTTACAGGAATAATATCATAAGTATAACTAGGAACTTATTGAAGCCACAACAAGTAATATGGAACGTAGCTGTGAATATTATTCACATCCTTAAGCTAAAGACGATCCTTAGAAATACCATATTCTTAGCTGGCCTAAACCAATCCATGCCTTACTTCCTCTAGCATCTAATTGTGTTGGTGAAATATTCATGTCTCTCATGCATTGAGGAGTAAGACTTGTGGAACATGGAAATCCTTGTTTCAAAGTCCATTGAATTGGGTAGATGCTTCATATATTTGGCAATTGTAAATCTAGTGTCATTTATTGGACTAGAAAAACATCTATGATGCTTTCTGATTTTTTATGTTGTGTCCATGTTGCTTTTCTTTTCTCTGGTAATATAGTTGCACCAAATTAGTTAATTATTGCAGTCCAGGTTTATATCATTTTCTGTACAACATTTTATTTTATAAGCAGAGACTATTTGAAATGCTTTTGCTGAGTATTGAGGCGTAGATTCTTTACTTTGAAATTGTAGTAGCATTTTGTTGTCCATTATATGATCAAGAGAAGAATTCCGCTCAAAAGTGTAAGACCCGTTTCTGGTGAATTGCTTGCTTCGAAACAGTTTCATTGTTCCTTCCTTTTTCCTATCATATTTTCTGTAGCCTTGGTTGTTTCACTGTAAATTTTCTTTTGTTTTTATGTTATTGGTTCTTCTTTGCCCCTTCCAGCATCTTTTTTTTTTTTTGAACATTGGTAAAGTTGTATTCTTTAGCATTAAGGACATGCTGGCCACCTTAAAAAATTTACAGCCCTAACCAAATTTACAAGCTCCCTATTAATTCTATAATTTGATCTACATCTTCTATACAGAGCTGTTTACACCAAAAAAGTAAAGATACCAAACAATTCCATTTTACTTTGTGAAAGGAATTAGATCTATCTTCAAAACATCTCCCATTTCTTTCCTTCCACACTGACCACCATATGCATGATGGTATTAGCTTCCACCACTTCTTTTGAGTCTTGCTACCCCCCTTCTGATCCAACATTTAAAAATATCAGAGGTGTGTTCTGGCATAGTCCAGCTGCAGCCTGTGATGTTGAGAAACAGCTCCCAGAGCTGTGTAGTGAATTTGCAATGTAAAAATAGGTGTTTGTTTGTTTCCCCAGTCAAATTGCATAGGAAACAACTAGGGACTAGTTGCATTCCGTTCTTCTGTAACACTTCTTGAGTTAAGCAGGCTCTTTTGATGACTAACCAAGTGAAGCATTTCACTTTGGTGGGGATCAGTTTGAAATGGACTTTAGATTAAGATCAAGCCTAAGCCCAGGGTTTTAGGTGAAGTAAGCTGCCTATTTGGATTTGTGCTTTCTGCCTATTTGTCTTAGGTGGTCTTCTGGGTTGTGTTATAAGGAGAATGAAGGCAAATAAGAAAAGAAAAGGATAAAGGATTTGCTTTTGAGTTGATTAATTTGGTGCAACAACAACAACAACAACAATAACAACAACATATCAGTGTGATCCCACAAGTGGGGTCCAGGAAGGTTGGGGTGCACGCAAACCTGACCCCTACCTACGCTTTCCGATAGACTATTTCAAAGCTTGTGGAAGTTACTAATTTTGTAACTGGAGTAGTAGCAGCAGTATTATCTTTCGTCTGCATGTTAACTTGCTACACATGCTTACAATGTCTTACATAATTTTGGTTGCTTCCATGCAGGAGAAATTTCTTGAAGTATTTTGCAGGGAGGCTTATGCTTGTTCTTTTCTGGATCGCAAAAGTTATGTTGGATACAACCATCTGTGTGAGTATCTCTCAATCCATCACTTGTAAAGCTAGATCAACGTGACTTCCTAGTGTAATAGCTAGACCTTTTGATGTTACATTTTAATCATGAGTAGTGTCTGAGCACATGCAACATGCGTGTATGCCATTTCTGTGGGAACAAACCTTTAAAAGAATTACATAAATAATATTCAACAAATATGTTTGAATTATGAAATAAAAATTGATTTTTTTCTACAAGTTTTTGAAAATGAAAAATGTTGATCTGATTTAACTAAATAAAGAAAAAAAATCATGCCCCACACTATCATTCATCTTTTGTGGGTGGTAAATCTTAATGAAGAAGTGGAGAAAAAAAACTAATTGTGTGCATACTAAATACACATTGGCATGTCAACCAAGTTTAATCGTGTTTGGCTAAGAGTTTCAGGGAAAATCTTAATATGGTGAAGATAGTGTTGCTAGATCATGTTGGCACTAGATAGAGAGAATAATGTAATGGAAGTTACCAATTTTTTAAAAAGAGAATAATGTTAAAATCAAGGTTAGAAAAAGAAGACTTACGTGTACGTGTTGGATTCAAACTCCAAGATCATACCATGAGTATACTCACAAACATCTTTTTTGAAACAAAGAATGTCCTTAGAAAAATATGAAAAAATAAATGAAAAGAGAACCTACTGTGTGAAAACGATATCAGATATCTGCAACCAACAAAATATACAAGCATGATCGTTGTTGATACTTTAGGATTAATAACAAAAAAAATTAAGGTTGAACAACATTTTTTTTTTTTTGAAACTGGTAAATGTGTATTCCTCAACATTAAGGACATGTTGGACACCATAAAAAAGTGTTAGATAAAAAAAACAGCAACTAGAAAACAAGATACTTACAGGGATCTTAATAAATCTACAAATTGATCTATATTCTCTAAACCTACTTCTTTACACCAAAAGTAGAAAGATATTATACAATTCCATTTAACTTTCTGGATGGAATTGGATCTATCTTCATAACACCTCCCATTTCTCTCTCTCCAAACTGTCCACCAGATGCATTGTGGGATGATCCTCCACCACTTCTTTTGACTTTTGCTGCCTCCTCGTTTCATCCAGCAACTAAGCAAAACTGCAGTATGCTCCGACATAGTCCAACTTGTCTTTGTTATGTTGAGAAATAGAGACCAAAGTTGTGCTGTAAAAGTGCAGTGCAAAAATAGATGACTGTTTGTTTCATTTGTCTCATTGCATAAGAAGCACCTGGAAACTATGATGGCCCCTTTCTTCTTCAAAACTTCTTGTGTCAGGCATGCTCTTTTAACCACCAACCAAGTAAAGCATTTTACCTTGGTTGGGGATGGACTATTCCATAAGTTTTTCCATATTTTTGGTTGCCCTCTACACTGTACCCTTTCTTCCATTATATAAATGCTTTTAACAGAGAATTGCCCATCAATATTGTGTTTCCATCTTAATGTATCTGGTTCAGCAGTAGTGCCATTGAAATCGTCAATCCTATTTAGCAAATCGGCTACTCTATCGATCTCCCAGTCATTTAGCAATCTCCTGAAGAATAAGTTCCATCCCTGTGCACTCCACATATCATAAATGGTGCCATCTGGGTTGTTGCTTAGAATAAACAGGTCTGGAAAAATCTCCATTAATGGACTTTGCTCCTTCCAAGCATCCTTCCAGAATGTTATTCTTTTCCCATCTCCAGCTCTCTTCTGCAAGTTCCCTTCCAGTTTGGGCCATAGAGCTCTAATGGTCTTCCAAACTTCAACTCCGTAAGTGTCAATGCTCACATTGGCACACCATGGGTTGAGTTCACCAAACTTGTGTCTAATTACCTCCCTCCATAATGCATGATCCTCCCCATTGTATCTCCAGAGCCATTTCATCAATAAACTATTGTTCTGTGCTCTCAGATTTCTGATGCCCAAGCCACTTTGTTCTCTACTGTGCATTGTTGTCTGCTAATTGACTAGTTTATATCCTTTGCCCTCTTTGCAGCCATGCCACAGGAAATCCCTCCTAAGTCTGTCCAGCTTTTTCATAACTTTGGGAGGTATGGGAAATAGAGACATTACATACGTAGGAAGTGCATCAAGAACAGAGTTGATAAGGATGAGCCTCCCATCTAGTGATATGTACCGTGCCTTCCACCTAGCCAATCTTTTTTCAGTTTTCTCTAATATTCCATCCCAAATTTCCCCTGCCTTGTGTTCACTGCCCAGAGGCATACCAAGGTATGTAGTTGGCATATTTTCAACTTTGCACCCTAAAATAATTGCAAGATTTTGGATATTTGGCACCTCTTTTATCGGGAACAAACTGGTTTTTCCCCAGTTAACTTTCAAGCCAGAAGAAACTTCAAAAATAGTCAAAATCATTCTGATGTAACCTATTTGTTCAACCTTTGGCTCACAAAATATCACTGTGTCATCTGCATACTGTAGGTGACATACCTCCATTATTTTCCCTCTGCTATTTCCTATCTCAAACCCTTTAATCCATCTATTTTGTAATGCTATCCTCATCATGCTATCAAATCCCTCCATTGCTAGTATAAACAGGAAAGGAGACAGAGGGGTCACCTTGTCTAAGACCCCCTTCAGAACCAAAAAAACCTACAAGTTCGCCATTCACCAAAACAGAGAACTTGACAGTTTTAATGCAAAAGTCAATCCATTTCAACCATTTCTCACCAAAGCCCATTTGACTGAGAGTATTCAACAAGAATCTCCAGTTGACATGATCATAGGCTTTTTCTATGTCTAGCTTACACATGACACCTGCTTCTGCCCCTTTAAGTCTTGAGTCCACACACTCACTAGCAATTAGGGCTGCATCCATGATCTGTCTTCCTTTTATAAATGCCATCTGATGCTTGTTAACTAAATTGTTAACCACCTTCTTGAGTCTTTCAACCAGTATCTTTGCCACAATCTTATATATTCCACCTATGAGACTTATGAGACTTATAGGTCTGAAATCTTTCAATTCTGAAGCTCCAACCTTCTTTGGGATCAAGGCTATGAATGATGCATTGAGGCTTTTCTCAAACTTCTGATATTCAAAAAAATATTGGAGAGTCTTCAGGATGTCCTCCTTTATAAGTTCCCAGAAAGCCAAATAAAAGGGCATAGGGAATCCATCCGGCCCTGGTGCCTTCTCCATAGCACACAATTTAATGCCTTCTAAGATTTCATCCTCTTCAAATTGTCTTTGTAGCTCCTCCTGTTCTTCTGCAGATATCCTTGTAGCTTCATGTAACACTAACTCTGGCCTCCACTCTTCTGTCTCCTTATACAGGTTCTTGTAGTAATTTTGAATAGCTTCTTTGATCTCCTCTGCATCTGTCACCTCCATACCATCCACCTTCAAGTTATCAATGGAGTTTACCCTTTTGTGAGTTGTAGCTATCCTATGGAAGTATTTTGTATTTTGTCGCCCTGTTTCAACCATTGTATTCTTGATCTTTGTCTCCAAGCTATCTCCTCATTTCTTGCAACTTCTTCAAACTCTAAAGCCAAATTTGATTTTTGCATTGCCTCATCATCTGTGAGAGCTCTTTGTTCCTGGATTGCTTCCAAAGCTGCAAGCTGGTTTAAAATGTCACCCTTTCTTTGTTTCTAGTTGCCCCTGTTGTTTCTACTCCACTCTTTTAACTTTTCTTTTAGCATCTTCAGTTTCTCAGCTAAATTATAGTCAGGCCTCCCCTTAACAACAAAAGCTCCCCACCACTGTTGTACCTTTTCTTTGAACCCTTCTACCCTCAGCCACCAACTTTCAAATTTGAAGTATTTTTTCTTGAAGTTCAGCTCTCCACAAGATAGCATGATTGGGTTGTGGTCAGATCCTATCTTTGGTAATACTGCATGTTTGATGAGAGTAAACTGCTCTTCCCATGATGAAGAGTATAAGAATCTATCGATTCTTGAGGCACTTCTATGATTCTCCCCCCTTCTCCAAGTATAAGATCCTCCAAATAAAGGAGGATCCACAAGCTCCATCTCTTCAATGCATTTAGAGAACTCAGACATTACTCCATTTGTTCTGAAACAGTTTGTTCTTTCATTGGGGTATCTGATTACATTAAAATCACCTCCCACCACCCAAGGTCCTGCACACCTTCCCCCCGCTGAATATAGCTCCCCCCATAAGTCTCTTCTTTCCACTCTTTTACAATCAGCATACACTGCTGTTACAAACCAAAAAAGATAAGAATTTTCCCCAGACATTTTACAAGTTATGCTTTGGTTGCCATGTTCTACCATTTCCCCTTTCCAAACTCTCCTGTCCCATAAAATAATTATTTCCCCTGGCTACCATCAGCCTCTAAATGTATCTCTCCCACCCATCTATTGTCCCAGATACTATGTATGAGTCTATCTATATTTCCCCCCAACTTTGTTTCTACCAAAATATACACATCTGCACTCCATTGATTAATCAGATTCCTTATCACCCCCTCTTTCTTTCGTCATTAAGTCCCCTCACATTCCAAGACACGATCTTTATCCTCATCTATGCATAATGGTTAGTCTCCTCCCACTTATTCTAGGTTCGCCATCCTTGAATTTCATATCGAACATTAAATTCTTGAGCTCTTTTGGAACTGTGTTATTGTTGCTATTTGAGGATTTACCCTTTCCTGCGTGTCTCTCCAAATATCTCTTTTGATCCAGCTTCATGCACAAAGCATAAGCCTCTTTTTCACATCCCTTGATAGCTGCTCCAAAGGCTTGCCCTAATTTGATCACATTAAGGTGTACCCAGATTGTAGCCCTTATCTCTATCATCTCTTCTGTGAGATTTTCTTCGATGCTCAATGGTTCTGGTTCATTGTAAGTGACCAGCTGATTCTCAAAACTTTCTAGAAAGGAAGAATCTGCCCCGCTCATACAGTAATTATTTGTCTCCCCTTCAAAAGCTATGCTATCTTCTTCTTGAGTCATGTCCTCTGCCTGTGCCTCCTCGATTCTCTGATTTCTGGTTTTTGGTTCTCCTTCTT